CACTGCTTTTTCTCTGATGGATACCAGCACTTGAGGATCCAGTGTCTTTGTGCTTAATGACAGGAATTCCTTCTTTTAGTTTAGTAGGTTAAAATATAAGAAAGCCTCTGTTTTAAGGTTTAACCTGTTTAGATTACCTATTTATTCTAGAAGTACAAAATTGAATTCAAGAAAATATAGGTCCCATGAAAGACTTAAAATTTTATAAAACTGAAATCTAGTTTTTCTCAATAAATTTTACTTTAGGCAAAACCCTCCCAATGCTTATAAAATAATACTAAAAGGGGCATCTGATTATACAAGAGCAATTAAAAAATTAAATATTTGAATGACAAATTAAGTTTGAGCTGCAATGTTGGCAATGCAAATTTTTAACAGATCACATAAAGCATGCACAAAAATGTTCTGGTGCCCAAGGACAAAATAACACAAAGAATTAGGCTAAATAGCTGCTGATTTTAAGAAAACAAAAGGCCCAAAATCACTATACAAAACATAAAATGTGTTAAGCACTACAATCCACAGAAGTCTTTTTTATTGATTATATTTTAAAACTATTTGCATAATTATATATTACATTGTAAATGAATGTTATACATGAACCTCCTTTCAGAAGGCAATTCCTTGTTGCACTATAGAATATTTAATTACATTGCAAACAGTATCCTTCTTTGCTATCAATAAAGAAAACAGTTAATGATATTACTGTAAATATCAAGAAGGCTACAAAAAAAAGAAATAAGATTTTGTTTTTGTCTTCGAAGTGTTTTCCATGCAGTGAAGCACTTGCCATGTTGAACTGAATGCAATACTGGAGAATGTTCTGGGTTCTTCAAAACAATATACAATCAGCTGGGTGCAGTGGCTCATGCCTGTAATCCCAGCACTTTGGGAGGCCAAGGTGGGTGGATCACCTGAGGTGAGGAGTTTGAGACCAGCCTGGCCAACATGGTGAAACTCTGTCTCTCCCAAAAATACAAAAAAATTAGCCAGGTATGGTGGCAGGAGCCTGTAACCTCAGCTACTCAGGAGGCTGAGGCAGGAAACTCGCTTGAACCTGCGAGGCGGAGGTTGCAGTGAGCCGAGATCACGCCACTGCACTCCAGTATGGGCAATGAGAGTGAAACTCCATCTCAAAAAAAAAAATACAATCAATTTATATGGTAATTCCTAAAAATTAGATTCTAAAATATAGTAGCATGCAGATAACGCATAGCTAATGCTTTAAATTATTCTGGAACAATGCTTTCTTGAGGATATCCAAATTTTCATGGAGCAGTTTTCATGAAATGGAAGCATATTCTGAGAGGGGAGATCCCCTCCCCTCCTTCCGCTTCCAGCCTCTGCCTCCTCCCCTCCAGAAGGGAATGAGGATGAAAAAGAGAAAAAAAGAAATAAAATACCAAAGAGCTGGGAAAATGACTCCCTTTTCAGTTCCCAGCATCTTTGCTATCTGTAAGCCTTGAAACAGTTGCAAATGAATGTTATCCCTACTGGCTGGAGCCTGGCACTGGGTCACGCCCCTACATCTGCAAGTCCCAGGCTCCCTCCTGGAAACACCTCTGCCAACTAATAGTTTATTGCCTTTGTCTTGTTTCTGTAAGCCCCCTCCTCTGCCAGTCCCCACTCATGCTGCATATAAATTAGCAAATCAATGAAGCCAAAGGATTGTAAGATCAGATGTCCAGCAAATGGACAATGACATAGTTTCACCTTAGTTTACCCTTTAGCGTTATAAGCCTATAAAAAGGGAGAGAAGCTGCTTCTCGGGGAGCTCAGTGAATGAGGCTGTAGCCACCCCGCCACCACCACCCCTAGGCTCCTGGCCAAATAAAAAGCCACTTCCAGCCAGATGCAGTGGCTCATGCCTGTAATTCCAGCACTTTGGGAGGACGAGGTGGGCGGATCATGAGATTAGGAGTTTGAGACCAGTTTGACCACCATGGTGAAACCCCGTCTCTACTGAAAATACAAAAATTAGCTGTGTATGGTGGTGGGTACCTGTAATTCCACCTACTCAGGAGGCTGAGGCAGGAGAATCACTTGAACCTGGGAGGCGGAGGTTGCAGTGAGCTGAGATAGCACCACTACATTCCAGCCTGGGCAACAGAGCAGGACTATGTCTCAAAAAAAACAAAAAAACAACAACAAAAGGCCACTTCCTTCCTCAGTTTGGTGTTTGAGAGGTTGTTTCTCACTGCTCCTGCTTCAACACTAGAATAATTTTAGTTAGGGATGATTTGTATCAGACTAGAACAGTCTGACCTTTTGGTTTCACATACTAATTGAAAACTCTGTTGGATGTATTGAAATAGGGAAGAGAGACTTACAGGCCCAAAAAGCCAGGCAAGTAAAAATGATTTTAAAATAGCTCTAACATTTTTAAATGTAGCAGCTGCTGTTGCGAACTTCATTGTGCCTTTTCTCTAATTCTCTGGGTCCAGATCTAATTATAGCACCTCCTGGTAGAACACCCTCAAGAGCTGACTTTGGCCACGTGTGTCTCTGGTACTGGGGTTGAATTAAACATCTTAGTGAACAAACTTTAGTTTTACTCTTCAATACTGGAAAAAAAAAACTCAGAGGATGATATCTCAAAGCTATTTGTGGGTACACTGAATTCTATGCCTCAGATGATTCCACTGTGGAAAATGATGTGGAAACCCAGTTGAAACTCTCTCAATTCAGTTAACTTTTATGTCACAAATTTTAAGTCTGGAAAAGGAAAACAAGCTCTTGTGTCCATACTTACTCTTTCTTAAGATATGAATACAATAGTGCATCTTAACATGGCTGAAGAAAAATTAACTTATTTGACTCTGTTTATAGAATATAACATAGTTTTCTAAGATAAAAATTAAGGATAATATTTTCCTTTTTTTGTGAGACAAAGTTTCACTCTTGTTGCCCAGGCTGGAGTGCAATGGCACAATCTCAGCTCACTGCAACGTCTGCCTCCCAGGTTTAAGCAATTCTCCTGCTTCAGCCTCCCAAGTAGCTGGGATTACCAGCATACACCACCATGCCTGGCTAATTTGATATTTTTTTAGTAGAGACAGGGTTTCACAATGTAGGTCAGGCTAGTCTCGAACTCCTGACCTCAAGTGATCCACCACCTCAGCCTCCCAAAGTGCTGGAATATTTTACTTTTATATATAACCAAAATATTTTTATGTAAGTAATTATTAATTTTGAAGTTTGAATCTTCCAAGTTAAAATAGACAGTTGTAACTCATAGACAGAAAGTTGTTGCTTTTTGTTCTTTAGTAAAGATTGTTATGAAGCAGCTTATCACTTTCTGTGCCTTCACCGTTATCCTGGGTTATGATTTGGTGAAAGGGCTGCAGGACAAAAGATGGAACCTGTACAATAAATGGGGAGAAGTGAGAAAATTGATGATGCCTACATAAATGAAATCCTTTTCAATCAACAAATTAGGTGATTGGATTCTATCACAATTCTTGTATTTCCATCCCGGACTTGGTGGCCTTTTTGAAGCAGAGGCATGTTGTGGCTTATAGGACCACATACCACTTAATAAATGTGGTTAAGAACTGCCTCTTGTGCCAGGATGTTGCTCCTAAGGGACTGTCCCAGCTTGGGCACAGGGGCAATAAATCAACCTAAATGTCCTTAACTTGACCCAGCTCATTATAAAGTCATTAACATGACATTAGCATAGCGGTTGTAGCTCCCCTCCTGTAAGTTTCACTTAGGCACTCATGGGTAATAACAAAAATGGAGTCGCTGTGGCCGACCCCAGGCATGTGAAGATGCAACACCCTTAAAGAGGAACTTTAGCCCTCCCATTTGGGCAGAACCCACAGAAGACTTCCTTTTTCTTGCCACACAAAAGACCTAGAATTCAGCCTCATTTCTGGCAACCTGTTTTCAAGTCCCCTCTTGCTGCTAAGAGCCTTCCTTTTGCTTAATAAATCCACTCTGCCTTACTCACTGTCTGGCATCGGTGTGCTCCATTCTTCTTGGTCATGGCACAAGAGTCCGGACCTGGCTGAACTGAGGAGACCACCACACCTCCACCAAACAGCAACTGGGAAACCGTGGTCTTCACGTGGATACTCTCAGCTTGCAACCACTGCTCTGTTTAGGGGCACTGTCCCATCCCACAGTGAAGCCTGAGGAGAAAAGTTGGTAGAGAGAGCCTGTTCCCTCACTTCCAGCAGAAAAGAGGTGCTCAGGCCCTCACCTTCCTGAAATCAGAGGCCTTATGGCAGCACTCAGTGTGACAGCCACCTGACATACGCAGCTACTGGGTACCTGGAATGTGGCTGGTTTTAAGTAAAATATGCTGCAAACATAAAATACACAGTGAGTTTAGAAGAGATTTAGATCAAAAAATACTTTGTTATTAATTATATATTGATCACATATTAAAACAATTTTTAACTGGTTAAAAATTATTACAATTTCACTTTTTAAAATTATTTTTGACGTGGATAATAAAAATGGATAATTCACAAATAGCTAACATTTTATTTTTTAGAGGATTGCTTCCCTCTTCAAATCTCAGGTGTCCTACCCAAAAGACAAGCGGCCAGAGGGGTTATGAAATGTAAAGTATTAAAATAATTGTCATTATATTATTTCCATTTGTGAAAAAGTGTGTGCCTGTGCATCCATGTGTGTACGCGCTTGGAGTGTGTGTGCACGTGCATGTCTGTGTATGCGCGCGCGCGTGTGTGTCTGTGTAAGTGTACGTCTCTGTGCATGCTTGCGTGTACTTTATAAGTGGACCTTACACACCACAAGGTTAAAAATGACCCCGGGGCTGCATCAGGCCAAGCACGGAGAGAAAGCCCTGCCTGAAAGTGCCTGGAAGCCCGAGCCTGACACTTGTGCCTCATTCAGTGGAGTGTATGGTTGCAACTTCTGTCACTCAAGGCCTGAGGGCGGGGATTGGAGTACTATCCAATCAGAATGCTGGAGTGACAACTGCCCAATCACGCACGCAGCCAGAGAGAAGGGGGCGGCTTCCGGAATCTGGCAAAACCTTTTCCTCTGGCTCCTGTTAGGGCGCGGGTTAGGTGTTCACCGCCTTGTGTCCTCGGCTCCCGGAGGCCCGGGTGATTCGGCCACAGCCTCGGCCTCCGTCGCTCTGTGAGCTGCGGGCATCGGATGATTCGTAGCTAAGACTCCGCGACACCCTGAAGCCCAGAAATGGTGAGTGTGCGGGGCAGGGCGTCCCGAGGCTGGGGAGGCCTCATCGGAACCGGCGGGAAATGGCGGCGGCGGGACCGAGTCTGTGAGCCGAGTCCCGGCTGCCGCCGCTCAGCCGTCGGTCCTCAGTCCCCTCCGGTGAGGGACCCGGGCTCCCGTCGGTCCCCGCACGGCGGCTCTGGCCCAGCCTGCAGCCCTTGTGCAGCTCTGCGCCTGCAGCCCGCACCTTCCCCGGGCTGTGAGGTGAGGAGGTGCTGATCGGGAAGACGCCGGCGCTGCGTGCGCGGTGCCTGCGTGGGAGGCGCTGTGGTCCGGGGTCCCGTCCCTACTGGACCCTGTTCGGAATTAGAGGGAGGCTCCGTGAAAACATGGAGTTCCTGTGAGCAAACGGGGACTCATGGATGGGACAGCCCCGGCCGTGGCTCGTGGTTTGGGGGCTGCCCGCGGGCCTTGAAGGAAAGGCTTTTGTGAGGTGTGTGAGGGAGCGAAGCGAATCACCCGCCCGCCCCGACTTTCCCGCCGGTTCCCTCGCCCTGAGCGTCTCCTCCGCTTGGCGTTCCTGAGGGGCATCTTTTAGAATACACCGGCGGAGGTGCGGCCAGCGCTTCGCTGAGTTCTGAGTAGTTCTGCCACGTGATTGAACCTGAGGATGGTGGGGGCGCCCTTGGTTTGTAGGCGGGCGTTCAGAAATGAAGACGCGTGTCCAGAGGCAGGGACTGGCGTCTGCGGGGGACAGCTGCGGGGAGAACGCTGAGCTTGTGTGGTCGGCGCTGACTCTGGGTGGTGTCGTTAGTGGGTTGCTGGACGTCCCGTTGGGGTTGGAGCATTGGCTAGTGTTGAGCAAACTCCGAATGTTTTTTCTCAGAAGAAAGACATGGCTGAGTCTGGGCTTGAGGTAGCCTCGGCTGGTTTCTGCCCATACGCTGTCCCACTGGGCACTGTCCTGTTCTTCCAGGTCTCCTCCCGGCGAGAGAGGGGACTGGGAACTTAGAGGAAAGGAGTTCTGAAAAACATCCCTTCTCTGCACTCTGCTGCCAGCCCCCATCCAATGCTAACCCAATCCTGAATGCGCCTGCTGGGAATTTGCATGGCCACACTACTCCCAGGACAGGGTTTACCCTCAAGAATTGTGCACATGGCACATTTGCTCCTAGCCTTCTGACAACACACGCAGTGACCAGAATATTCCTGGCTCATCTCAACCCCAGACTCTGGATATGTAGCAGGAACCTGTTTTCTTCAGCAACCCAGGCTTCTGGACCACCTGATCCTAATCTCTTCTGCCTTTATGGACACAGGAATCAGAGCGTAGCCCTGACTGGGTCTGTACCTGTACTGTAGCACACACCAGTGCTTCAGTCAGTCCTGCCCTGCTCCCACCCGTGACTCTTGGTAGCTCCTTTCTTCTGCTTTTTCCTTCCCACAGATTCTCTTTTCTGTGCACACAGTGTGCCCATGTCCATCCTTTAGGTGCCTATGAAAATTCAGATGTTAGTGAGTTCAAGACCATGCCTTTAGGCCTGGCTGTTGTAGGAGCAAGCACAAATTAGAAGAGGTTTAATGTTTTCTTTTTAGAATGAGGGAGGAATTTTTGCTCCTCTCCTTTTTCTTAAAGCACTTAGTTTAAGAACTTTTGTATTTTAATATTTTCTCCGCTTCTTTGAAATATTTTTGAATCATTTTTATCAGGTAAATAAGTCATTTGTCTTTTTTGACTCAAAATTGTCTTTATCTGGTACCTAGGAACTATTGTTTGAAATGTAAATAGCAAGATTATACACTGTATTTCACAGTTTCTGTAGGAGACTAGGAGGCTGCCTTCAGCAGATACCTAGCTCCACATTGCAAATCTATATCCTGTCTTTGAATATTAGAAAAAAATTAGAAAACCCAGATGACTTCCCAGATTACAAGGTGAAATTATAATAAACTGTGTATGACAAATGGTGCTTTCAAGGCTTCTACTTGAGAACTAATTATGGTGACTTTCTGTGTTTGCAGTCTCTTAACAGATTGCTTATGATGCACATCACATTTTCTTTTAATTATACAACAAAACATTTTCTTGCAGTTCTGTTATTGTGGAGAATTTTTTAGAATTGCAGGTGCTTTTGCTTTTAGTTGTATTTTCCACACACAGACCAGAATTACCAGATGTTATACACAAAGTGCCATTGAGAAAACGTTCTTTCTCAAGATTTCAGTCACAACCCACAGTTGTGCAGCAGAGTGCTTCCCAAATCTGCAAACAGAATGGCCTCTCTCTTTGGAATCTACAGTCCTTTGTAGAGCACTTAGACTAAATTTCTACAAAAATAACTTTTCAGGACAGCAGTTATTTAACCTCCTTCAGTGCTCCTGGCATCTTCAGTTCTGACACTGATTTCAGAGATTTGGGGCCCGTAAACCTTACCATAATCACACATATGTATTGATTAAACATGGGAATTTCTGCTCCCTCCCACCTCCCCTTGCCCAAATGCCCACAAATGTGCATACTCACCAGCCCTCCAAGATCTAATGGGGCAGTTCCAAATTCTGAATTTATGTTCCTGGGACTTGATAAAAGAACTTTTATCTGAGAAATACACATTTTTAAATTTATGAGACTCAGATGTATTGAGACCACACTCACATACTGTTCCCTTCATTGAACTATTTGTCTTTTGAAATTCCTTGTTATTGTCACAAGTGGCTATAAATTAACCTAATAATGCCACACTGGACACTATAACCCACACCCTGTAGCTTAACATATAAGTCTAATCACTAACTGATAAGAATTTCTGACAACATTTTTTTAAGATGGAGTTTTGCTCTTATTGCCCAGGCTGGAGTGCGATGGCATGATCTTGGCTCACCGCAACCTCTGCCTCGCGGGTTCAAGTGATTCTCCTGCCTCAGGCTCCTGAGTAGCTGGGTTTACAGGCATGCACCACCATGCCAAGCTAATTTTGTCTTTTTAATGGAGATCGAGTTTCTTCATGTTGGTTAGGCTGAGCTCGAACTCCCGACCTCAGGTGATCCGCCTGCCTTGGCCTCCCAAAGTGCTGGGATACAGGCATAAGCCACTGCACCCGGCCAGCTTTCTATCAATCTACTCTCTGACTTCCTTTTTGCCTTTAAAAATATGCTTGTAACTGCTTCTAATTAGGGTGTATATTCAGGGCAACTTTATATTCCAGGATTGTAGCACACATCGATCTCACCTGGAATCTACACATAAAAGCTGGCCTCTGCCTAAGATTCACAAGACAGGGCCAGACTTTGGGTTGAAGACATACAGAAATGTCACAGAAAACATTTTCTGTGTTGTGAGAGATCAACATAAATATCCTAAGCCCCACTTTCAGAGTGGAGCCCTTTGAGTTTTCCAGATCTGCTGCAGCTGTGTAAGAGGCTTCTGGTGTGAACACAGTCCTATGGCAGGATCTGTAAGTGTAAACAAGCACCTTAGCAGTGGGAAGTCAAGACCACTAAATATCCAAGTCCATAATCCCAACTATGCCTTCCTGTGTTACTGGAGTAGAGTACCTTTGTCCTTCCCCTACCTCAGATTAGTTGATCAGGGACAGGAGGTATCACATCTGAATTAAGTTTCTCATGTGATATTACAGTGAGGCCCAGGTCAAGCATGAGGGCTTCCAGATACTTTAATGAGACATGAATTCACCCTTTGTTCCAGGAGGTTAGAGGGACTGCTCTGCTTGGTTTTAGTAGGGACAGGTCAGTATAGCCATATTTCCGTAGCAGCAACAAAAATTGCTGGCATGTGCTCGTTTTTCCTTAGAGTTATAGAATACTTTAGAGAACATTATTGTGTTAAAAGTTATTTTATCAGATAATTCCTGTCAGTCCCATAAGTCAGAACTAGTTCTCTTCTTTCACTTGTAGTCACATTAAGAACTCTGTCACTTATCGTGTTTTCAGGAACTCTTAACATTCAGGGATGTGGCCGTAGAATTCTCCTCAGAAGAGTGGAAATGTCTGGATCCTGCCCAGCAGAATTTATATAGAGATGTGATGTTGGAGAATTACAGAAACCTGGTCTCCCTGGGTGAGGATAACTTTAATACATAATTCCTAATACTTCCTCAAAGTTTCATTTTATTTCTTTGTAGAATGTCTCTTGGGAGCTTCTGCTTGGCATGAATTTAATTTCAATTCCTTTCTACAAGAAAAAATTGGGAGTTTGCTGGTGTAAAAAAGAAAATATTTAGGATGTTTCCTCATTACATAAACCTTCTGTTTTCTTGAGTTTATTTGTGTCCTTCACTATAGGACAGTAGTAATTCTAGAAATTAAATGACATAAAATATTGTTTTTTACATTTTAAAATCCAATTTGCCTCACTTATTTTTGACTCAGTAATACTGGGTAGTGGAACTTATAACCCACAGGTTTAAAATATTTAAATATTCTAAAGATTCTGTCAGGAAACAATTTTTGGATTTTCTGGAATCTTCTATAATTTCTCTATTCTACTTAACATGGTAATAGGTTGGTAAGTGGAGTATCCTCCAGCAATAGCCATGTGATTTTTTTTTTTTTTTTTTTTTTTTTAAATCAGGTGTTGTGATCTCTAACCCAGACCTGGTCACCTATCTGGAACAAAGAAAAGAGCCCTACAATTTGAAGATACATGAGACAGCAGCCAAACCCCCAGGTAGGTGAGAGTGAATGAAGGAGAGGACACAGGCAAGGAGGCCAAAGGTCAATAAGGAAGCTAGGCCTTAAAATGTAGTTTGGGAAGCTCTGTGCCAATGAAAATAATTTCTGAAAAGGCTGCATTTTTTCTTTTTTTCACAAGTAGAGTCATCTTCTGTCCCATGCTCTTAAATCTTACAAGAATTTTCATTTTTCCTTCAGTGATCTCCCTCCAAGTTTACAGGGAAAGCCAATGTCCACTTTCTCAATAAGGGGCTGCATAATCAGACTGCTGTTGCATTGCTTTTAGAGACAATAGAATATTTGTATTAATAAGGAGCTGTATGTTAAGATATTTTTTTGACCTACTGTTTTTGCATCATGCCTAAAATGTATAAGGTGAGTAGTAGACATAATGGGATTTGGTTTAGAAATCACAGGAACACCATGGTCAGGTGTTGCATCTTTTCTGCTTAGTGATTTTTAATCCTGTAGAGGTCACAAATATAATTCTACAAAAATTTATATGCAGCAATTTTATCACAAAAATCAGCGTTTTTCCAAATATGAAAAAATATGTTATTTTACTTCAAAATGTCATTTAGAACAAACTGAGATTTGTAATTTAAACTCTATATATTCAGAATTTCAAATTATAATACAGTTTAAAGCACAGGTTTCCAAACTTTGGCTTCCCTGAGCCACATTGGAAGAAGATTTATCTTGGACCACACTTAAAATTATTAAATACACAAACAATAATTACAGCTGATGAGCTAGGAAAAAAGAAATAGGTTTGTGAATAATTTTTGTGATATCCATCAGCACAGATAAGCAAAAATGCTCTCACACTCAAAGGATTGGATACTGTTGGTTTAAAGTATCTACTCACCTTCTAGATTTCTTTCTTTTTGGGGGTGGGGGCAGGTGGATGGAGCCTCACTCTGTTGCCTAGGCTAGAGTGCAGTGGCGTGACCTCGGCTTGCTGCGTCATCTGCCTTCTCCTGCTTCAGGCTCCCGAGTAGCTGGGATTACAGGAACCCACCACCACACCCAGCTAATTTTTTTGTATGTTTAGTAGAGATAGGGTTTCATCATGTTGGCCAGGCTGGTTTTGAACTCCTGACCTCAAGTGGTCTGCCCGCCTCCCAAAATGCTAGGATTACAGGCATGAGCCACTGTGTCCAGCCCACCGTCTAGATTTCTTAAATGCACTATGTCATTAACCAGTTTAGAACGTTCCTAAGTGTATATTAAGCTCTTGCTACCTTATTTCTTAATAACTATTATCTTATAATTTTGTCTTATTTAGCAGGAAACCTACTAGGATTCTGTCATTGAGCTATAATCTATATGTAGAAATATGTGTCACACATATGCACATCTATATGAGTCATATGTGTATAGGAAATTCTCACTTAACATTGTTGATAGGTTCTTGGAAAATGTACATAAAACAACATATTGTTTAAGAAAACTATTTTACCAGAGTTTAATTGATAAAAACAAGTTATGTTTGAATGGTGTATAGCTACATTGTTTCATTTAAAGATGCAGTTTTCAGGAACCTATTTTGAATATTAAGTGAGGACTTACCATACATGTGTGTTTGTGTGATATGGATTTTTCTGATGAATAAAAATTATAAAGCTGTATATTTAATTTGTGCAGTGTAATGATTTAATATGCATATACATTTTGAAACAATATTGTCAAGTTGATGAACACATCTATTACCTCACATAACCTTTTTTTTTGGTAGTAAGAACACTTAAGGTTTACTGTTGTAGGAAGTATATATGTATCTCTGTTCCATTGGTTTTTGTATCTGTTTTTATGCACATACTATATTCTTGATTACTATAACCTTTAAATAAAGTTTGAAATTAGAAAGTAGATGCCCCCAGCTTTGTTCTTTCTCAAGATTGCTCAGGTTATTTTAAGTTATTTAAGATTACACTTAAATTTTACAAATATGTTTTCTATTACTGAAAAATGCCACAAAAATTTTGATAGGGATCACATTGAATCTATAGATCACTTTGGATAATATTCCTTGACAATATTAGTTATCCTGATGGAATGTGTTTTCTTTTATTGGTATCTACTTCAATTTCTGTCATCCATATCATACTGTATTTAGTGTATACATTTTTATCTCCTCCTTTACATTTATTTATTTTATTTATGTATTTATTTTTTGAGACAGAGTCTCACTCCGTCACCCAGGCTGGAGTGCAGTGGTCAATCTCAACTCACTGCAACCTCCGTCTCCCAGATTCAAGCAATTCTCCTGCCTCAACCTCCTGAGTAGCTAGGATCACAGGCCTGTGCCACCGTGCCCGGCTAACTTTTTGTGTTTTTAGTGGAGATGGAGTTTTGCCATATTGACCAGGCTGGTTTGGAACTCCTGGCCTCAAGTAATCTGCCCACCTCGGCGTCCCAATATGCTGGGATTACAGGCATGAGCCATCATGCTCGACCCCTTTATATTTATTTTTATTAAGTTCTTACTTTTATACTATTGCAATTGGTAGCTTTCTCTCTTTTTTTTAGGAACTTTGTTGTTACTATCTGGAAATACAACAAATATTTGTATGTACAGTCAAGTGCAGTGCCTCATTTCTGTAATCCCTGCACTTTCAAAGGCTAGAGACCAAGGAAGGTTAATCACTTGAACACAGGAGTTTGAGATGAGCCTGGGCAGCAGAGTGAGACCCTGTCTCAAACAAAAAATCCCACAAGTATTTGTATGTTGATTATTTATCCTGATACCTTAATGAATGCATTTATTAGTTCAGTTTTTGTTGTTTTACTCTAGGGTTTTATTTATATCCCTGATCCTGTTATCTACAAACAGTAACATTTTTACTTTTATTCCAAGCTGGAGAGCTTTGTTATTTTCCTTGCCTAATTGTTCTGATACAAACTTTCAGTAATATGTTAAGATAGAATCTGTGGCCCTGGAGGCATGCTTGCAGATCTTGGCCTCAGTTGTGGTCCCTCAAACAGCCCCATGTCTGTACATTTAAAGGATCTAACAACTCTTACAGTTTTTATAAACTACTTTTGGCAGGTAAAGATCTCCTTTTGTTTTGTTCTGAGACAGAGTCACTATCACCCAGGCCGGAGTGCGGTGATGCAATCTTGGCTCACTGCAACCTCCACCTCCCGGATTCTAGCGATTCTCCTGCCTCAGCCTCCCGAGTAGCTGGGATTACAGGCGTGAGCCACCATGTCCAGCTAATTTTTGTATCTTTAGTAGAGATGGGGCTTCACCATGTTGATCAGGCAGGTCTCAAACTCCTGACCTCGTGATCCACCCATCCTGGCCTCCCATAGTGCTGGGATTATAGGTGCAAGCCACCGTGCCCAGCCATAAAGATTTCCTTTTGTTCGGTCCCCAGGCTGATGAGATTACCTCTGGGGTTGCTGAGAAGGGTCGTAGCTGGCTCACAAGGGTCTGCTGGTTCTGCTGTGGGGTCTGCCTTTGATGGTTGTGTTACCAGATGTAGGATCCAGCCCTACTAGAGTTGTGGGGTGTCTCCTATCGCTGTGCTGAGGTACTGGATCCGAGAAATAAGGAGACAGGACACCAAAGGACTGGATAGGAGCAGCTGGGCTCAGGGGGGCCAACACTACCTACAAGCGGAGACAGGCAAGGCCCCAAGCATCCAGGCGCATCTGTATTTATTAGGTACAAGTCAGGGGGAAGGGTAGTGAGTGAGATTGTCTTAAGGATAAGTGTTAGGGTCAATGCAATCATGTGCGCGATAAGCAAGGGGTCCACCCCCGTTAGGTCACCGAGATAAGGAGGTGGTCAGTGTATAGCAAGGGGCCCACCCCTAAGGAGGTGGGCAGTGTGCAGTAAGGAGGGTGCAGTGTGCAAAATCTCTTATCTATGGGCAGGCTACTTCTGAGAATTTCTTTTTTTTTTTTCTGAGACGGAGTTTAGTTTCACGCATGTTACCCAGGCTGGAGTGCAATGGCGCAATCTCGGCTCACCGCAACCTCCGCCTCCTGGGTTCTGAGAATTTCTATAGGAGGATGCTCTGAGTCAGCACAGTAGCAACAGAGCTGACAGGATCTATAGCCACCTGCAGGCTGCTACTAAGGATTTCTTTTTTTTTTTTTTTTTTTTTTTTTTTTTTTGCTACTAAGGATTTCTGTAGGAGAATGCTTTGAGTCAGCACAGTGGCGAGAGAGCTGACAGGATGTACAGCTACCTAGGTGCGATTATACTGGAGGGGTTTTAAACCCTCAGACATACATGGGATTGCCATCCTGAGGCCGGCTTTCCACAAGACTGGACACAAGTTACTACTCCCTTTTAGGAGGAGTGACTCTTGCTCCAAGCCTGCCATACAGCGGGCATCTTTATGATACTGAACGCTGCCACCTAGACTGACCTGCCATGTAGCGTATGCCCTTTCAGGCAGGGACACTACCACCTGGGTCATTGATTCTTGTCCTGGTGTAGCTGTTTTTCCCTAGTTCATGCTCTGCAATGTGTCTGCTCTAGATATTCCTCCAACTATAAACTGAGATATGATTATCTATGAAGAGATTCTATATAAAGGGAAATAAATGAGCAGTAAGATATTCTTCAGGCACTAATTGTGCCGGGGATCTGCTTAACTCTCCTTCCTCGGTGCCCAGAATGGGGGTTACCCACACCAGAGATTTGGACAGTTATGGATTCTTTCTGGGCCCTGGAAAGATTAAATATCATTGAGGACATTAATCTACATGGCAGGCAGTAGGGTCGGGTTTGAAGTTTGTCTGCACGTGGTAGGCAAAATACCATGTGTATGAATGGGATTGGCTTCTACTGACTACCTGGGAACAGTTTTCACAGGTCTCTCTGTGGGTCCCTGAGTGTGTACAACTGGCCATTGACTGTGGCTGTGAGGGCTAGAACTGAGTCACAGGGCTGCTTCAGGGACTACAGCTGAGGTCAAGATCTGCAGGCCCGCCTCCAGGGTCATAGCTGGGTGTGTTCTCCTGCAGGTCTCTTGA